GGCCAGAGCCTCCCAAGGCGGGGGTTCACTGTGAGGACACCCCCCACCCCAGTGATGTGTCCTGGCTTTCCCAGCCTTGGGCTCCTCGCCTAGAGCTGTCTCTGTGGTTCACGCTGTGTGCGTGTGTGTGTGTGTGTGTGTGTGTGTGTGTGCGCACATATGCATGCAGCACGGAGTAATGATAATGACCAGCCTGATAACCAGCATTTACGGATTGCTTATTCCTGCTTCCAACACTCAGGATGCAATAACTCATGTGCCTCCACGTGGTAACTGCCATTGTTGTCCAAATTTAACAAGGAGCGCACCGAGGCTCAAGGTCACGAGCCAGTAAATGGTAAGCAGGGCTTTGAACCCAGGCAGTTTTTGAGAGGAAACCTGGTCCCGTACCCCCTCTCTGAGCCTCAGTTTCCCCACCTGTAAAACGAACACGTCTGATGTAATGTCTCACTCGCTGGTGACTGTGAGGGTGAAGCAGGGCAAAGCCGTGCAGACAGGCAGGCGGGGACAGGGGAGCTGGATGCCGGGGGAGCAGATTAGGCTCCATGGCACGGAGAATGCGCTTTGCCGTCACAGAGCCTGGGGCTGCGGTCTCAGGCCCTTTGTGGCGTGGCCTTGGCTGTCCCCAGCTTGGAGCTCCATGTCCTTCTCCATCAAGTCAGCCATAGCACACTTGCCTGGCACCGGTGCTGCCAGGGCCCCCTTGGCAGAATGGGGATACTTGGTACACGGCATTCCCACCCTCTGGACTTGAGCCTGCCCTTGGGATTGAAGCCAACTCCTTCCTCAGCCCTGGTCCTCGCCCTGAGGGTGTGAGATGATTTTAGCAGAGGAGAGTGTGCATGGATTGACCGAAACACCCCTTGCCCTGGGCAGGCCTCCCGCCCCCCCCCTCCGCCCCCCCGCACCTGGCTGAGGGCTGTGGCCACTCGGTTTTCCACTTGCTTCAGGGCTGTCAGGGGATTGGAGGGGTGAGACCCACAGAGGGGCCCCCACCCCACAGAGACCCGCTCCCAGCCCTGCGGGAGGTCTGATTCCTCCGTGGCCCCAATGCCCGTCGTGCCCTTTGCTTCCTACTTTAGAGGCTCAAGCCCCTCCTCCCCCGTCTCCACCCCTCAGGCAGGGTCTGACATCTTTGCACCAACAGGCCAGGACTCAGAAAGAGAAACAGGTAAGGTGTTTACCCATTTATTCATCCTCAGCAGACATGTATAAGGCAGCTACTGTGCGGTGGGAGCTGCAATAGGCCCTTGCTCACCTGGAGCCCAGTCTGGTGCTAGACCTATACCTGGGCAAGGACAAAACCATGGAACACGCTATGGAACCCAGGGCAAGCAGTAAGCGGGGGCGGGGGGCTTCCTGGAGGAGGTGCAGACTAAGCTGACCTGACAGGGGGTGGGAGGAGGTGTTCTTCAGAGAAGTGCATGTGTGGAAAGACACACACATTGACATGGTGTCCGCAAGGAGAGGGTACAGGAAAGGGGTTCGCCTTAGCACAGCGGTCAGGCCCCGGGCCATGGTCCCTGCTGCCTCTGTGGTCCCTGTCCTGCCACTTCTAACCAGGGCAGACACATCCGGATGGTAATGATTTGTGTCTATCTCACTCCAGATGCCAGGACTGGGTGTGCTTCCTCATTCCATTTCCCACGGCTTCACACAGGGCCTGCACACAGTAGGTGCTCAGTGATGCTGTGCCCAGTAGGCCTCCCCTGTTTGCATCTCCCCCGAGGCTGAGCTGTGCGCTCCCTCCTTTGTGCTCCTGCAGCACTCGGTACTCCAGAGTTCACGTTGCTACAGCACTTTCCCATATATCAATGTGTTTGATGCTCACACAAGCCCTGTGCAAAAAGTGTCATTATTGTCATCATCATCACCTGCCAGGAGGCAGCACGTCATTGTGGTTTAGGTATGTGGGTTCTGCAGCTGGACTGCTTGGCTGTGTGACCCTGAACAAGTTGCTTACCCTCTCTGTGCTTCAATGTCTCCATTTGTAAGATAAGAGTAACACACCTCATAGGAGCACTGAGAGGCTGCACCCGGAGTAAGAACACTACCTACCACATGGTCACCTCAATTATAATGGTAGTGCCCGGCTGGCATGGCTCAGTGGTTGAGTGTCAATCTACGAACCAGGGGGTCACGGTTTTGATTCCCAGCCAGGGCACATGCCTGGGTTGTGGGCTTGATCCCCAGTGGGGGGCGTGCAGGAGGCAGCTGGTCAATGATTCTCTCATCATTGATGTTTTTATTTTTTATTTTATTGATTTTTTACTGAGAGGAAGGGAGAGGGAGAGGGATAGAGAGCTAGAAACATGGATGGGAGAGAACCATCGATCAGCTGCCTCCTGCACACCTCCTATTGGGGATGTGCCCGCAACCAAGTACATGCCCTTGATAGGAATCGAACCTGGGATTTTCCAGTGTGCAGGCCGACGCTCTATCCACTGAGCCAAATCAGTTAGGGCTATCATTGATGTTTCTATCTCTCTCCTTCACCCTTCCTCTCTGAAATCAATAAAAATATATTTAAAAATATTAATAATGGTAGCTATTATCATCCTATTACAGATAAGGATATAGAACAGTGGTTCTCAACCTGTGGGTCGCAACCCCTTTGGGGGTCGAACGAACCTTTCACGGGGTCACCTAAGACCATCGGAAAACACATATATAATTACATATTGTTTTTGTGATTAATCACTATGCTTTAGTTATGTTCAATTTGTCACAATGAAAATACATCCTGACTATCAGATACTTACATTACGATTCATAACAGTAGCAAAATTACAGTTATGAAGTAGCAACGAAAATAATTTTATGGTTGGGGGTCACCACAACATGAGGAACTGTATTAAAGGGTCGTGGCATTAGGAAGGTTGAGAACCACTGATATAGAAGGTCAAGGTCAAAATCACCTGGCTGTCCAGTGGAACCATTTTAATCTCTAAGTCTTTAAACTTCAGACCTTGAGTTTTGGGGTTATCTTCCCCAACCCCCATTTTCCTTATCACTGTCTCCCATTTTCTCTCTTTATGCATCTGTCTCTCCTCTGGACGGGCTCCTCCAGGGCTGGAGCCTGCATCAGCGCTGTGCCTGGAACAGTACCTGGCCACCTGGAACAGTACCTGGCCACCAGGAAACGCCGCGCGAAGGAAAGACGCACTGTGTGTGCCAGGCAGCCTGCTCTGTGCCTCCACGTGGATCATCGTGTCTGAGCTTCTAGAACAGTGATGGCGAACCTTTTGGGCTCGGCGTGTCAGCATTTTGAAAAACCCTAACTTAACTCTGGTGCCCTGTCACATATAGAAATTTTTTGATATTTGCAACCATAGTAAAACAAAGACTTACATTTTTGATATTTATTTTATATATTTAAATGCCATTTAACAAAGAAAAATCAACCAAAAAAATGAGTTCGCATGTCACCTCTGACACGCGTGTCATAGGTTCGCCATCACTGCCCTAGAGGCTACTCTAGACCACTCCTGGTGTGGCGATCTGTGAAGAGGCTTCCGGAGAAGTCCTCTGAGGAGGTGACCCTGCTCAGTCCAAGGAGATCTCTGAAGAGATGACGGTGTGTGTGTCTCAGTGATGGAAGGTGTGTGTATGCGTGAGGAGCAGGCTGCCATTGTTTGGGTACCAAGGGCAGATGAGAGACGCCGCACGGGGACCAGATCAAGCACCCGGAAGCCAGGAGCAGGGTGATGCAGTGAGCTGGGTGCTGGGCTCAGCGGGTGTGCGTGTGACTCTGTGACTGTGACCGTGTGACTGCTGAAGGCAGGGACACAGCCGCTCCCAGAGCTGGGGGTGGGAGGTGCTAACTGTGTGGATGCTGCTGCGGGCGGTGGGCCCTGGGCCTCACGGCTGGGGGCCGCGGGAGGTAGTAAACACCAGGGTGACTAGGAGGCTGCAGGCTTGTGGGAGTTTGTGTGACTCTGCAGTTCCACAAATTCAAATGCGGCTGATGCCAGCAGTGCCTGCTGTGTGCCAGGCCACCAGCTAGGAGAAGGAGCTATGAGCCCCGCTTTCAGCCGAATGGCACTGGCCGTGGGGGGCGTGTGACCGCCTTGTGGCTGGCGTGGGGCTGGGTGCTTTATGCACTGAGCCCTCGCAGTAACCCTCTCCCGCTCTGAGGCGAGCCGGAGGAGCGCAGAAAGGAAATGACTTGCCCAAGGTCACCCAGCACCTCGGAGCCAGGGCAGGATCTGAACCAAGGCCAGAGCCCGACCCTTCCTCCACCAGGCCTGTGCGGGTGCAAACGTCTGATCCTGGAAAAGCCGCTTAGGGCTCCTGGCCGCGGTTCAGGGGACATTTCCCCAACCACGTGAAACCAGGCTACCCTCTCTGTGCTGAGGGGCTCAGGGGGGCACTGTGCTGAGGGGCTGCTGGGTTCTAGCTCTCCCTTTCCAGGGGCCAAATTCCTGGGCAGAGGGGCTGCTGGGCTCTTGGAGACCCCCCAACGCCCCCATCCGTGCCTCAGGCCCTCCCAAGTTCCTGCCACCCCCCCCCTTCCCTCCTGGTGCTGACTCTCTGCCAGAAGAGGAAAGGCTGCTCCACCCACCTCTCCCATCTCTATAAAGGCCAGAACAGCTGAAAGGGTGGCAACTTCTCCTCCTGCCGCACGCACGCCGGGAGCAGCCCGCCTGCCTCCCCTCAGCCCGCAGCCAACCCCCACGGCCTCCCGAGGGCTCTCCTCCGGCCGCCAGCGCCCATCTTTCATTGCCGAGATAGAGATATTTTGCACGCACACACGCAAGAAGGGGGAATAAAAGCCCACGCTCCAGCCTCATTGCAAAGAGAAAGCCGGAGCAGCCGCAGCTTGCAGCCCGTTGAGGACGCCCAGAGTGGCGAGCAGACTGACCGACAGACTCGCCCCACGTCCACCTGTCTGCTGCGGCCGGCCCAGAGCTCAGCGGGCACGCCGCGCGCGGGGCAGCCGTGCCCGCCGCCCCGGGCCGCCAGCCAGGGCGCACACGCTCCGGCCCCCCCGCCCCCACCCCCACCCCCCAGGCGGCCCAGGAGGGAGTTTGCACCTCTCGCTGCCTGGGTACTCTGGTCGCCGCTGCAAAGCCAACTTTGGAAAAAGTTTTCAGGGGGAGACTTCAGCTTTGAGGTGCCCAGCTCTAGCTTTCCGACTTCGGGACCCTTCCCGGAAAATGTTGCAAAAAAGCTAAGCCAGCGGGCAGAGGAAGACGCCGTTAACCCGCAGCGAGAGAAGAGAGAAGACGAGCCATCGACCGCCGCCTTCTTTTTCCTCTTGGAGGTTGGAGTCCCCTAGGCGCCCCCACACGGCTAGACACCTCGGCTGGTTCGCAACGCAGCCCCCCGGCCGTGGATGCTCGCTCGGGCTCGGGATCCGCCCAGGTAGTGGCCTCGGACCCTGGTCTCGCGCCCAGGCCCTCCCCAGTCCCCCAACAACGGAGCCGGGGCCGGGGGCGGTGGCACCCGGGGGCCATGCGGGTGAGCCGCGACAGCGGCTGCAGCGGCCTGAGCGCCTGATCGCCGCAGACTCCAGCCGAGCCCACCTCCCTCCCCAGCCCCCGCCCTCCACCCTGGCCGTGGGGGCCGCGCGCTCGGTCCACGCGTCCGGGGCCCCGCGGGGCCGGGCCCGGAGTCGGCATGAATCGCTGCTGGGCGCTCTTCCTGTCTCTCTGCTGCTACCTGCGTCTGGTCAGCGCCGAGGTGAGTTGCGACGGCGGCGGCCGGGCTGGTTCGCTTCATTCATTGCCCCCACCCCGCCCCCACCCTCGGCCGCCCTCTCCCCTCCCTGCAGTGAACTTTGGACCCCTGCAGCCCAAGTGCCTGGCACCGGGCGCCAGGTGACCTCCGAGGGCTGAAACCCGAGGGCCGGGAGGTGCCAGGCTCTAAGAGGAGGGGGCAGAGGTGGCCTGCTTTCTCCGGGACGATCCCAGGTCTCCCACCTTTAAGTGGGGAAAGGTGTGTGTGGTCCCCTTCCCGCGCCCCCCCAGGAACTGAATCAGCCCCTTCCCTGCCGAATGGAGAGGGTGGGGTGGCGCCGAGGTGCAGAAGGCACCTCCCGAGCCCACTTCGCTGCCAGCTCAGGTTCTGGCTGGGACGCGGCTTGCAGGGAGCTGCGAGCTGCCGCACTGGTGGCAGCCACGCCAACCTTCGAAAGCGCTCTGCGTCCCACCCTGCTCCCGCTCCCGGGCCCCAGAGCGCGGTCCAGGGGCAGCTTGTGTCTTGGGCAAGGAGGAAGGGGGGCGGAGGGGGGGCGAAAGACAGGTCTCGGGCAGTCGGATCAGGGAGGAGTGGGGGCTCCGAAGGAATCCAGCCCCGAGCGGCGTGTGCCCGAGGCCCCGCAGTACCTGCGCCCTCTCCCCCGCTCGCGGGGTGCGCAGCGCGCCGCCGGGGAGAGCCTGGCTGCAGGGGACGCGGGGTGTAAAACCCCCGCCCGAGCCTTCGGGTCGGATCCGTCCCCACCCCTCTCGGCCTCACGTAGCCGTGAGTTGGCAAATGTACCCGGAATCCAGGTGGGAAAGGGGGCGGGGCGGGGCGGAGGCGCGAGATGAGGGGGGCAGAGGGCTGCGGGGAGCGCGGGTGCCCAGGTCCGGTCCCGCTTCTGCCCGGCGGCGGCCGGGTGCCCGCGCTTCGCCTGCTCCCGGGGAGGGCGGGCCCCTCTTAGCTCCCACGAGGCAGGAAGGCGGCGGCGGCGAAGGGGTTAAGGCGCAGGGCTGGAGGCCGCGGCCGGGCCTTGGGCCGCCGCCAGCGCAGGTTGTTTTGACCGCGGAGGAGCCGTCGCCGTCTCCTTTTGTTCTCGGGGCTCCTTGAGGGCCGCCGGCCGCCCGCCCTGGGGCCCCGCCCTTCCGCGGCCGCCCCCCGCGGCCCGCACCCGGGAGAGAGGACGCGGGCCTTGGCGCGGCTGCCCGCAGGCCCCTCCCGGCGCCCCCTCCTCTCCTCCAGGAGCCCCCGGCCTGCGGCCAGCTGTTGGGGAGGGGGCGCCGGCCGGCCCCAGCTGCCGCCTCGCCTCGGGGCCCGGGCTGGGCCGGTGCCAGGGCGTCCTGGGAACGGCGTCCCCGGCGCGGCGCTCCGCAGCCCACCCCGCTCGGCCGGCTCGCTCACTCACCCCACGCATGCACACTCCTGGCCGGAGGCGATGCTGCGCTCGGCGGGCGGGCGCGCAGGGACGGGCACGCACTACCGCGGCCGGGTCGCGCGCCCGCCGCCACGCCCGTGCACACGCGGGGCACACGCGCGCGCATCGCACACAGCGCACCGGTGCCCCCCTCCTCCCCGCACACGCGGCCTGAGCACACGTACGCACACACCCAGCACGCACAGCCCAGCGCCAGGTGCCAACCCCCGCGCCACAGGTGGGCCCAGGGTGGCCCCCTCACCTCCCTGCCTCTGTAGCCACTCGTTTCTCACTGGGTGCTGTGAGGGAGGGAAACGGGGACCCTCCCCTCAGTCCGGGCTCCGCAGCACCCGTTTTTTTGCCTGGTAAGGTTAGCTCCTCGCCCTTCAAGCATTATTCTTCTGCGATTGCTCTTTCTCAACCACTCCCATGTGGCTGAAAGTGGTGATGTGCTTGGGGACCACTGTCATGTCCAGGGCATTTCTCCCTTCAAGTGAGCTCTTCTTTGAGCCTTCGGAACTAGAGGACCCTGAGCCGCTGAGCCCCCCTCTTCTGCCCTCTTTGCTGATCCCAGCATGCTCAGCAGAGGCTGGGTAGCAGCTGAGTAGGCTTTCCCAGGCCTGCCCTTACCATTCCCAGCGTCATCCAGCACCTCCTCCTCCTTTCCCACAACTCCACGGGTATGTGTGTTTGGCGGGGCAGCGATGGCACAGAAGCTGGTGCCTCGCTCCCTCTGTAATCATTGCATCCTCGAACACCCCGTCTAGTGGTGCTTTGCAGTTTACCAGGCACTTTCCTGCTAAGCCTGCGCAAGCCTCAGGGCGGCCCTGGGAGAAGAGACTTAAAGGGAAAACCCGTGGACATGGGGCCCGTTCAGGAAGGAAACTCCGGGAGGACTTGCTGGTGGAGGTGGCCTTGGGGTTGGCTGTGTCTCAAGCATGCATGGCCTGAGCCTCAGGCGGAGGCCTCAGCAGCTGGGCAGGAGGGTGGGGAAGTCTGAGGCAGGGTCTGGCAGGGGGTGGGCTGAGGCCTGTGAGGTCCCATCTCCATCAGCTGAGCTGGCTTCTGGGGAGGGTGACTCCCACTGTCATGTGATGCCTCCGGCCTCAGCACCCTTCTGCCCTTCACTACCCAGCTTCCATCTGGTTTGCTAATGCCTTAGGAAGGTGGTGGGAGATCAACCTGGAATCCCCCAGGCCTAGAAGTGTCTGCAAGGTTAGGATCAAACAGAATTTGGAGTCTCTGGTACAAGACCTAGGGGTATGTGTGTGTGTGAAAGAGAGAGAGAGAGAGAGATTGATTGGTCGGTTCAGCAGGAGTGGTAAAGAAGTGCTTGCCTTGGGCCTCACCCCCCATTGAAATGGACAGCTCTTTTTATTTCTGGCTTATTTAGTTGTTTATCACCTGTTTTTCCTCCCTGGAGTATAAACTCCACTAGAGAGCGTTTGTCTTAGTAACTGTCTCCCCTGCTTACTGGTCTGTGACTGGCTTATGGCAGATAATCTGTAAATATGTGTGGAAAAGACCATGAATCGGGAGGGGGAGAGGGCCCAGATCTGTGCTTGCTGAGTGCCTTATAAGCACCATCTCACTGAGTCCTTAACCCCGGGCAGCCCAGCACGGCCACTGCCCTCCACCAGGCTTCCTCATCCGAGTCGAGCCACCACTCCCTGCCCCCCTCCCATCTTGAGAGACAAGCACGCCTTTCTTTTCCATGTCTTGGGACTTGGGCTGCCGAGATTGGACAGGACAGAGGGGAAGAAACAGCAGGAAAATCAGATTGCAAAGGCTCCGTGTATCCTGAGCTGGGCCTCAGTCCCCGCCACCTAAAGACTCGAGGAGATTGGATTAGCTCCGAGTTCCTCAAGAGTGGAGTTCCCAGGCCTCTTGCAAATGCAGAGTCCTGGGCCCCGCCCTGTGCTGGGACAGAGGTGGGGTGGCGGGCAGTGAATGCCACGGGGAGGTGGGGAGAGCTGCTGGGGTTGGATTGCTGCCCTGGCCCCTCTCTTTCTGCTGCTGCAGGGAGCCATGGGGAGCCCAGTGGGAGGTTGCATGCACATTAAGGAGGGGTGGGGCCGGGGGAGGGTCCCGGGAGCCATAGGGGAGGGAAATGGTAGGTGGGAAGGCTGGTTCTAATGGCTTCTGTGGTCTGCCCAGAGGAGGCTTCTTCAAAGGGCTTGGCTTTGGCATTGAATCTAAATTAGGCCTGAGACCCAGGCGGGCAGGCAGGCGCTCGAGGCCTGCTCCCTGCTCGGCTCTCCCTCTGCCAGCCACAGACAACGCCCCCGGGTGCGTGGGCCCGGCCTGTGCGTCTCTCTCAGCTGAAGGGCAGGAGGGCTGGGGAGAGTGTATCGGCTTGTGTGTGTGTGTGTGTGTGTGTGTGTGTGTGTGTGTGTGCTGGGGCCCAGGTGGAGGGTGGGGTCCAAGCCCCTTTGATCTGCCAGCCTGGTTGGGAGCAGGTAATTCGTCTAGCCTCACGCTAGCTGGTGCCCTTCCTACCTTCTGCAGCTGGCGTTGGGGGTGGGGTGGGTGGGGAGCAGGCTGTTTGCCTTGGCTCCGTGGCTGGCTGTGCCCCAGCTGCCTTCTTGCCACGCCCTCACCCTGCCAGGAGCCCCCGGCCTGAGATCTGGGGCAGCTTCCTCAGGGTGCCTGGCCTCCTTTCCCGGCTCCGAGGCGAGCTGCCCACCTACGGAGGCTTCTAGAACCAATCCCTACCCTGGGCTCACCCTCCCACATCAAGAGGAACCTCTGGCCGCAGCAGGTGCCCCGAGCTGACCACAGACTGAATGCTGTCACCTTTCACCTACCTCCCGCCCTGGAAGGAACCCACCAGCCCACACTGCCATTGTGGGGCTAGGGTGTCATTTCCTGTGGCCCAGCTCAGGGGATAGTGCAAAGCCACACGCTCTCCACCTACCCATTGTCATCCTCAAAAATGCCCTGTACTGCTGGCCCCGGGCGGGCATCTGCTCGCTGCTGCCCTCAGAGGCGCCCACCCCCATTATCGGCTGGCTGCTCTGCTGGGTGCAACTAGGCCACCCAGTAACCCTAGCGAAGTATTCTTAGCCCCATTTACAAGATTAGAAACCTAGCGTTTAGGTTGTTAAAAGACTTATTCCAAGAATCCAGGCTCCCTTTGCTCTTTCGTCTGCTACCGTTTCTCCGCCTCTGCACTGTTGGCGTTCTGGGCCAGACAGCTCTTCACTGTGGGAGGCTGTCCTGTGCATAGTAGGATGTTTAGCAGCATCCCGGGCCTGCACCTTCTAGATGCCAGTAGTTGTGACAGCCACAAATGCCTGCGGACACGCCAGTGTCCCTGGGGGCCCCTCGTCCTGAGGTGAGAAGCTCTGCCCCCTGACCCCCGCAGGGGAAGAGGGGCATGAACCGGAAGTAGTGCTGAGGAGCTCCCTGGGGGCTGGAAGAGGGAGGGCCCAGCTCTGTTGACCTGTAGCCATTTACGTACTTTTCCTAACCCTCAGCTTCCTCATCTGGAAGACGGGGATAAAAATAGCACCCGCCTCCAGGGATTGGCCGTGCACCACGTAGCCCGGTGCCTGACTCACCGTCAGCATTTAGTAAAAGTGAGCTGTGGTCTGACTATCAGATCCAGGGGCTCGTATTGAGTTCTGGGCAGCCGGTGGCCGAATTAGTGGAAGCACGAGCGGAAGGACCTCTGCTTAGAATGAAGTGGACTCTACAGGAGGCAGTTTGCACTGGGGGGTGGGGAGACCATCCCAGGTGGTCCTCCTGGTGGAGGAGGCGGGAGAATCATACAGGAGAGAGTCCCAGGGAGAAGGGGAGAGTCCTTCATGCATTTTACCTGCATTTTTTGAGCACCTCCTGTGTGCTTCTCCCCAGCCTCTACCCTGGGCTCTTCCCCATGCAGCCTGGGAGGGGTTCTGGGTTTGTTTCCATAAGATGTCGTCTCCTGTGCATCGTAGGGCGGGTCCAGGGCATCTGCAGGGACTGATGGGGGGGGTCTGCCTCCTCTGCCATGGCTGGCGGCTGCAGCCAGCTCGCCAGTGGGCAAGGAGGTCTCGGCATGAGCGGTACGTGCCATTTGGTACGGGGCCTTCAAGCCCCTCTTCTGGAGCTCAGTGAGCCATTGCTGCACGGGCCCCTTGGCTTTGCTCTGCTGTCCCTGGGCACAATTAGAACCAGATTCAATGTCTTCAACCCCCTCCATTCACCGGTGAGATCCGGGTACTGAGCGGGGCAGGGACCAGCCTGAGGTCCCTGGTGGTTGGTAGCAGTAGAGGGTGGACTCCAGCTCCCGGACCACAGTTCTGGGGGGTGACAGAACCTTCCGGAAGGTGGCCTGCCTTGGTCTTAACTGGAGACCCGCCGCCCGCCTTCTCTTCTCGGGTGGGTCCTGTGCCCACAGTTGGAGACCCCCAAAGGTGTGCTCTCTGCCCTGGGTTGGAGGGGGCGGCACCCGGGGGACCTGGGGGAGGAACTGAGGGGCCGCGGAGCCCCTTTGTCCTCGTCTCACACTCGCAGCCCTGGCCCCCTGGCCGCAGTCACGCACCCTGAAGGAAAGACCCCGATTTCCAGCCAGACTTACTGCTCGCCCCCACCCCCCACCCCCACCCCGCCCTGCGGGGAACCTCCTGACAGCCCTAGACACCAGCCAGAGGAAAAGCTCCACATTCAAATGAAGACACTGAGCTCAGGGGTTTCAAGGAAGTCGAGTTGGGTGTCCGCAGCTGGACATGGGGGGACCCCTGGAGGACCGACCCCAGGAGGAGCGTCTAGAGATGAGCTTTGGGCAGAGGCTAGAAACGATCGATCGATCACAGGAGCTTTTGGGGAGAGCCTCCAAGTCCGTGATAACTGGCTCAGGACTCAGACAAAGGGTGTTGCGTCTTTGAGCCTCTGTTTTCTCATCTGTAAAATGGGGATAATGAGATCTGCCAAGTCAGCTGACACCCTCCCAGGCTCCTTCCGCGAGGCCGTGCCGCCCCGTGTCTGTGTGTGCACCTGCCTGTGTGCACACGGGTGTGAGTTCGGATGTGCAGCAGCATCGCGGGCATTTTCTGTGCCCGGAGGCGGTGGGTTCCGGGACTGTGCTTCTCCGCCTCTCAGCTGCCCTCACCTCTTTCTCAAGACCTCGGCATCAGCCCCTTGGGGCGCCCTGGGCTGAGGGCCGTGGGCTCCTCTCATGTCATTGTGGGACCTGCGGTTTCCCTGAGGAAGCCCGGCTCCGAGTGGGGCCTGTTAAAGTGCTTATTCAGTTTCAAGTGTTTTGGGAAGAGGCCAGAGGGGCTCTAAAAATAGGGTTTGGTTGGGCACGGGGCACGGGTAAGCGTTCAGGTTTCCCGGCCGCCTCGGAGGATTCCCTGCTCTCCTCTTTGCGTGAGAGACTAAATAAATACCTTAGTACTGGTGGCCTCCTGAGACCGTCCGACTCTTCAAGCATTTCTTAAACACCTTGTGTGCCCAGGAGGCTGGGATACAGGCTCTGCCGTCAGGAAGACTGGGGTTTGAAGGCAGGTTCTGCTGATAACTGGCTCAGGACTCAGACAAAGGGGGTTGCGTCTTTGAGCCTCTGTTTTCTCCTCTGTAAAATGGGGATAATGAGATCTTCCAAGACAAATGCTGGCTGGCATTAACTGTCAGGTGTGGAGGAGAAGCAAAAAGATTGTGGAGCCTTCCAGAACCCATAGCGTGATGGAGGAGGATGGGCCCAATCCAACCGAACTCAGAGCAAGCTGGGGCTCCTATTTGGGGGGATGAGGCATCTGAGCTGGGTCTTACAGGCTTTGGCAGATTCTGGCTCCCGGGACTTTGTGCTCCTCGTTGTCAGGCCTGGCATCCGCCTCCTGCCCACACCCGCCTGGCTGTCCATCTGTCCGTGGCCGCAGTTGCCCTGTGGGAATTTCCCATGGGAGGTTGTGTCTGTGCTGGGGGCAAGAGGGCCATGGCTGGAGAGCCCTCACTCCCAGCTCACTGGATCCCATGTGTCTGCCCGGCAGGGGGACCCCATTCCTGAGGAGCTGTACGAGATGCTGAGTGGCCACTCGATCCGCTCCTTCGATGACCTCCAGCGGCTGCTGCACGGAGACTCCGTAGGTAAATGGAATCCTCCTCCGCTGCTCGGGGCGTCCCCTGCGTCCCTGGGAGCCGGGAGGGGCAGGGAGGGGCAGGGCCAGGGCCGTCCCTTCCTTGACATCTGGGGAACAGAGGCCTGTGGCGGCCCCGGGAAGGGCTGGGCCACACCTGTCTGGGGCAGGGCTGAGGAGGTAGACGGGTTGGTACCTGGGACGTGGGGCGTGGCAGGAGAAGCACCCACATGTGTCTCTGGCTGGGTGCGGAGGGTGGGGCGCCCGGAGGGGGCGGGCGGGGAGAAGGTGCCTAGGGCATCTGCCCAATGAGTATCCAGGTGTGAACTCAGCCAGGGCGGGTGGTGGTGGTGGTGGAAGAGCCATCTCCCTGTCCCTCTGGCCCAGGGCCAGCTCTGCAAGGTCTCCCGGGGACACCTGGCCCAGACCAGCGGGCTGCCCTGCCCGTGCCCAAGAGCACACTCAGCGAATGGGCACGTGCTCGGTGGCACACACGTGGCGGGGCTGGCGGCCTGGGTGGGGAATGTATTTATAAACGCTGTCTTCAGGGCGAATTCCATTCTATTCTAACCTCTGGCCTGTTCCCTGGAGCCCTGGTCATCACCCGCCCTGCACCCCCAGCTCCCCTTCCCTCTGGGGTTTTGTCTCTTTGTCACTTTGTAATCCTTGCCCAGACTGCTATCTACGGGGGACAGCATTTCCTGCCTTTGTTTCCTCTCCCCGTTGGGCCCCTGGCTCCCTCTCAAAAGCATTCCCGGGCCCTTTCAAACCCTCCTGTGCTGGGGGCTGGTGAGGGCGGCGGGAGGGGGCCCCAGCTGGGCCCACCTATTGTTCACCAGGCCCCCCCCACCCGACATCTCCCACCCCCCCACCCCATGCCCGGCTGGCCAGCCCTGGCCAACACAATGGGGCAACTTCCAAATTTAGCCTTTCTGCTATTTCTTTCCAAGGGCCTTCGCCCCCACCCTCGGCAGCCCCTCCACACCCCGGGTGGGGGTCGGGCCCGGAGACGAGGTTTTCAATAGCAGGCCTGTTTTGAGGCAACCATGTGGCTATTTTTTCCTAATCAACGCAACCTTTCCACAAAGCACATCTTTTCCCCATCTCCTCCCCACCAGGGACATTCCAGAGATGCAGAGAGAGGAAGGGAGCGGGAGGCACACACGCTGACGTGGACAGTAGCTGGAGGGAGGCGCACCCGCTCTAGGGCCGCCCCCTCCGCACGGGACCCCCTGGGAGCCCGCAGGGCCGAGCAGGGCCAGTGGGATGGGAGACCCTGTGAGCCTCAGGTGCTGTGTGGAGGGGCGGGAGCTGGTCCCCGACACCTCAGGGTATTTGCCGGCTTTCAGCCATGAGAGAGCTAGAGGAGTTTGCCCACCGTCAGCACCAAGTCATCGTCCCCCTGCCCAGCCCTCGCCTCCAGCAGCGGAGAGAGGGATGGGGTGGTGCTGAACTGAGGGCTTCCCAGGCCAGAGCAGGGGGCTGTGGTGTGGTTGTGACCTTAGGAAGGAATGGACAGTGTAGGGCAGACATGTGGCAGAAGGTCAGAGGGAGAAAGACAGAACCACAGTGAGAGACTGGGAGGTGGAGAGAGAGCAAGATCTAGAAGGGCTGGGTGAGGCTCCCCGATCCCAGCAGCCCTGGCACCCCACCCCTCTGCCTTCAGCCCCCACCCCCATCCTTCTCCCTCCCTCGCTCTCTCCCGCCCAACTGGGCCATTGTCAGGGGCTCCAGAGGGGCTGTGTCCTGGGCATGCGGTTCCCCCTGGGGATTCTGGGAATTTCTCCATTCAGCACTTCCTATGGGAACGCTGGGCGGAGGGGCACTGGAAAGTGGCCTTCGGAGCTCTGGGTCTCTGCCCTGCCCGGGAGGGTTCGCTCACAGTAGCAGAAGGGAAGGGCTATTTTTAACTCCATTCACATGAGTTCTGTCCAGAAATGTGACTGAGGAGCTCAGAGTGGGGCTGAAGCCCCCCCAGAGGATACCGTCAGGGTCCCACCTCCCCCGAGCCCCGAGTCACCTGGGGTTGGATCCTGAGAGCTAGGACTCAGGTTTACCAGGGGCCAGGGGGGAGCCCCACGCTGCGGGCGGCCAGCCAGCAGTGACCAGAGTGCATCTGACTGTCCTGCTCTTGCAGACGAAGGTGGAGCCGAGCTGGACCTGAATTTGACCCGGTCCCGTTCCGGAGGCGAGCCCGAGAGCTTGTCCCGAGGGAGAAGGAGCCTCGGTAAGACCCGGGGTGAACGTGGGGCCCCCCGCGAAGGTGGGAGCCAGGGAGGGAGGCCCCTGTTCAGGGCTTTGAGGGTCAACCCCGCTCATCCCCCGCTTCGGCCTGAGTTGAGCTAAGGGACAATAGCACCCTTAAATAGCTTACGTTGAGCTGGGTCCTCATGTACCCCCCCAGCGCACACTGCTTCCTAAATATAATGCTTGTAAGCTTATTTTTCACTACTTCAACCCTAGAATTAGATATTATTAACCCCGTTTTATGGAGTTGGAAACTGGAGCCCAGAAAGGGAAAGAAGTAGGCGTGGCCACACAGCTGACTAGCAGCAGTAGGACTGGGATCCCAACGGTGCCTCTCGGTTGAACCCCTGCCCTCCTGGCTGCGTGTCTGCTGTGGCTGAGGCTGTGGCCTGGGGCAGCAGGCCCGGAGCAAAGCCTGGAGCTGCTTCCCGCTCGATTGCAGAGCCCCAAGGGCCGTGTAGATCCCTAGGTCCCATGGGAGCCTTCCCAGCAAAGCAAGTGCCCATCCCAAGCCCCTCCTCCTCTCTTCCCACCTGCAGTCCCCCCGGTACTGTAGATGGTGCCGGGGGACCGCCGTATAAGAGCCGGTGCCGGGTCCCACTCCTCGCTCTGTGGGCCGGGCTGCTTATCGGCTCTCTGAGCTTCGGGTCGCCGTCGGGCAGGTGTCACGCATATCGCGCCGAGGTCTGCAGGTGCTGGCTAGGCGCTGTCATTCTCCCATTTCCTAGATGAGGAAACTGTGGCTGCGAAAGAAGCAATGAGGTCAGGAAAGATTACAGTGTAAAACAGCAAAGCAAAGTGATCACAAGATAACATACAAGTGAGGGCCACATTCGGACAAAAAAAAAGGCCCAGGGTGTGAAATCACAGAGGGAAGTGAGTGAGGGCTGGCGGAAGGAGTGTGACCTTTACCACACGAGTGATCCCACTGGACCCTAACAATGGTTCTGGAGTATAGGTCACCCCGTTTGCACGTGGAGAACTGAGCCACCAGCTCAAGCCCCACGGCTGATGGCGGCCAGGACTCAGAGCCTCTCCTGACGCGGGAGGAAGAGGGGCCTGGGCGGCCACGCGGCAAGAGAGCAGCGCAGGGGTGCCCGCTGCGCTTTCCTGCCAGGTGGGGGCTCTGGGCCGGCCCTCCCTCCTGACAGCGGTCCCCTCTCCCTTCAGATTCCTCCACGGTCGCCGAGCCAGCCATGATTGCCGAGTGCAAGATCCGCACGGAGGTGTTCAAGATCTCCCGGAGCCTCATCGACCGCAGCAACGCCAACTACGTGGTGTGGCCGCCCTGCGTGGAGGTGCAGCGCTGCTCCGGCTGCTGCAACAACCACAAGGTGCAGTGCCGTCCGACCCAGGTGCAGCTGCGCCCCGTCCAGGTGAGCGCCCCCCCATCCCATCTGCACTGGCCCCACCCCCCACCCAGGTGCAGCTGCGCCCCGTCCAGGTGAGCACCTCCCACCCCCACCCCTTCACTGGCCCCACCCCCCACCCAGGTGCAGCTGCACCCCGTCCAGGTGAGCGCCCCCCCATCCCATCTGCACTGGCCCCACCCCCCACCCAGGTGCAGCTGCGCCCCGTCCAGGTGAGCGCCCCCCACCCCCACCCCTGCACTGGCCCAGCCGCTGGCCGGCTGCCTGCAGGGGCTGTGCCTCAGGGACCAGGCTCAATGGGTCGGCTCTGTCCAGAGCGGGCGCTCTCAGGAAGCTCTCTGGACTCTTGTGCTGAGGCTGCCCCAGCGTCCTCTGCGGCCGCCCAGCTGCTGTGACCCAGAGCCACAGGCAGACCCCAGGCAGGCTGGTGTAGGACGTCCAGTCGCGGTGCTGCCTCGTCCTTTGCAGGGACACAACCCCAAGTATCTCTGGAAGAGACATTCTACAAGCACATTGACCGCTCAGAATGTGCTGGGCAGCTGCTCAGAGTCCGCCAAAGCTCTCCCCTGTCCTGGCCCTGCACAGAGAGGAAGGCTCCCCTGTGTCTGCCAGGCCCGCTCACCTCCCCGGGACAAGCTGTGTCTTTAATAAAGAGGGCACTGCACGAGGCGAGGGGGTTGGGGGGGCAGCCCTTAGCAGGAGTCTGAACGCCGACTCCTCTTTCCTGGAAATACTGGGTCACCCTGACTCAAGGGGGCGTTTTAGGGTGGAGGCTGCCCCGGGGAGCTCCTGATCGCAGCCTGGCAGAGCAGTGTCAGAGGGGCCTCGGCCTCTCTGATTCGTGCGTGCGGGAGGGCTTCTGCACCCCTCGGCCAGCCTCACCCCCACACCAGTGGGGCTGGACCCAACACTCTGCTGGCCCCACCTCGCCCCCTCCCCTTCCTCGCGCCCACCTTCCACCACAGGCCTGGGCCCTGCGCCCGAGATGACGTGTCACTCTCCACCACGCCGCCCACTGTCATGCTATCTCCTGTCCCCAATGCTTCAGCTCTAAAGATGGACACCTGACAGCTGCCCTCCCCCTTCCCGCCTCCCTCCTGGATAAAGCCTCCCCCCACTTCCTTCCAGACAACCATCTCCCCGCCTCTGCCACAGCCCCTGACCTTGGCTGGCGCTCCAGGAATGAGGACACCACAGGCCCGCTCTCCGCCCGGAAATGCCTTCCCCCCTCTCTGGGAGTCCGAGGGGGCTCTGGCCAAGCCGAAGGCCAGGGTGGGAGGGCTTGTTTTGATGGAAAAGCTACGAGAAGGGCAGAGGCCAAGGTCCTGCTATTGTTTGGGCAGCAGTGTCTGCCCTGCGGCTCTCAGCTCTCCAGGCTTTCGAGGAAAGATCCCCGCAGGGGATGCTGAGGCGGGAAGAGCAGGCAGGTGGCTCCCTCAGCCCCTTCCCGCTGGTCTGACGGAGGCGCTGGGGTGATTCTGTCCTCCAGGTGAGAAAGATTGAGATGGTGCAGAAGAGGCTGATCTTCAACAAGGCCACAGTGACCCTGGAGGACCACCTGGCCTGCCGGTGTGTGACAGTGGTTCCTGCACGACCTGTGAGCCGCACCACAGGGAGCTCCCAGGAGCAGCGAGGTACCTGTCGGTCCAGGGTGTGCCTCTGATTGCTCAGCCAGGCAGCCGCCTCTCCCGTGGCAGCTGGTTTGATGCCACAGCCCCCTCCTTTGTTGAATGAGAGCATGGAATGGGGAGGAACCAGGGCCTGGAGAAGAGAAGACTTCACGCATATCATCTTCAGATATTTGACACCTTATCCTGGGGATGAAAAAACACATTAATTCCTGTGGCCTTGAGGGAGAAATTAGGGCCAAGAGGCAAGGCCAGCAGACAGAGATTTTAACTCATATACTAGTCAGGGGTCCGGGATGGCATCACTTTCCTTGTGATGGAGTGAGTTTCCTGTCACTGGAGGTGTGTGAACAGAGGCTGGGCAGCCGTGCAGCAGGGATGTGAGAGACAGGGTTGAACCAAAGTCTCATTCCCATCTTTAGATCTCACAAATCAGGGGCATCGTTAGGCTTAAAGAGTTGGAAAGGACCAAAAAATGATCTGGTTCAATGGCCTCCTCCACATTGTATAGAGGGGGTGCCAGAGGCCCAGGGAAGCTGAGGTCTTGCTCAAGGTCACACAGCTAGTCCCAGGTCTTGTAACATCTAGTTCTGGGTGCTTTAGACTGTATCCGGCTGCCTTTTCTCCCTCAAAAGTTTGCAGTAAGGTCCTGGTTGGTGTGGCTCAATTGGTTGGGTGTCGTCCCATACACTGAAGGGTTGCCGGTTCGATTTCCAGTCAGGGCACATGCCCAGGTGCAGGCTCAATCCTAGATCCTACCAGGGCCATACAGGAGTCAGTGGGTCAATGTTTTGCTCTTACATCGATGTTTCTCTCTCACTCTCTCTAAAAAAAAAAGCAATAAAAATAATTTTTAAAAAGTTTGCAGAAAGGACCCAATGAGAATCATTAAGCTAATGCAATTAACACAGCCCTAACTGGGAATCGAACTGGGGCCCTCTTGGTGCATGGGGTGGTGCTCAACCACTGAGCCACCCTGGCCAGGCGCTTTTCAGGAGCTTTCTATTGTTAGGGGACAGAACGGTGCCACCGTGATTTCTTATTAACAAGCCTCTTGAAGGCAGGGCCGTCCCAGCCTTTTCAGTCTGTTCCCAGAGCCACGCTGGGGCCCGGATGCCCTGGGAAGGCTGATAACCTGACAGCTGCAAACCGATGTATTGTAGAGTATTTATAGAGTTAACGTGGAGAATGACTTTTCTACCCAGGAAAATTTCTATTCTTTACGTTTAGAATAGTTTTTTTTTTTTTTCACATGCATTCGTTACACGTGGTTTTCCAAACCATTTCCTTGGGAGGCACGTCTCACGGTTAGCATGTAGATAAGCCCTTGCCATTTCAGGTGCAGCATGTTGGCCCCGTGGGATGGTGCTCCTGGCAGCTGTCCAGGGCTGGGCCCAGGCTGGGTGGTGCGGCCGTGTGACGTGGTGGTCAGTGTCAGGCCTCTGGGCTCAAACCTCTGCTCTGTCCCTTCTGAGCTGTGTGACAACCTTGAGCTGGCTCGGGCTTCGCCAGCCCAGGGTCCTGCTGGTGGCCTGGTCTCTGGGTGGGAAACTCCAGCCCTTCAGTGGCTCTCCTGGTGCAGAGCCCTGAGTCCCTGCACCGCAGAGCTGGGGCAGCTGCCTCGTGGGAGGTCAGGTGTGGGCCCCCCAGAGCCGATGGGCCGGGGAGAACTCAGGAGTGTCCAGGAAGAGACGGGCCTTGAGCTTGGCAGAGAGTGTTCACTGCCCGACTTCCAGCAGAGGGCTTGCCAGTGTGGACTGTAGAGGCAGATCCCTGGCTTACCTCCCAGCCCCCCCGCCTCAGTTTCCTCATCTGTTAAATGTAGACACGTACACCCTCTGTGAGGGCAAACGTTGCCAGGTGCGTGGTAAGAGCCAGAGCGGAGTTTCTGGCTATTTCTGTGTCTTATCTCCTCACCCCAGGAGGCCAGGGCTCAGTTTTAAAGATGTGGAAATTGAGGCCCAGAGAGTTTACATGATTTGCCCCAAAGAACACAAAAGATTGGGACCCAGGTGGTCTGGCCCGGCGCCGGCTCTGGCCTGCCCGCTGTGCTGCTTCTCCAGGTGTCAGGGCCCGGCGGGTGACAGGTGCAACCGCGGGAAAGGCCCAGCTCTGTGTGTGGTTCTGGCCCAAAGCCCAGGACTGCAAGGGGCTGCAGGGTTGGTGGGAGGAGAACTCAGTAGGGGGTCAAGCAGAGGAAATAAGACAACAGTGAATAAGAGCAGCTGCCGGTCGGTCAGCCAGTTGGTCGCTGATCACGCCTTGCTCTGGACTTTGTGGCCAGGACCACAGCCATTTCCTTCTGTCTGGTCTGTGGGCTGTCAGGGCTCAGCAGGGCGGTTCTGCTGGCATCTCTTGTAGTTGCAGTCAGTCACCTGGGGGCTGCACGGGGACAGCTGGGCCTCTGTCCCACTCCCTGTCACCCAGGGCGTCTCCTCCCTGTGTGGCCTCCACAGCAGAGCAACCAGACTTCTTATGTGGTGGCACAGGGCTCCCCAAGGTGCAAAGGTGGGAGTTGCCAGGCCCTTTTAAGGCTCACGCCTGGAATTGGCACAGCGCCACTCTGCCTCCTTTGATTGTTTAACAGATCCAAGTTCAAGGGGCCTGGAAATAAAGGGCATGTCAGTGGGGCACTGACCACGAACTTAAGCTACAATCTGTTCCCCTCTGTGTTCGCCAGGACACTGTCATTTATTCCTTCCACCAGTCCCATCTGGTGGGCAGCCTTATTACCCCCATTTCACAGATGGGAGAACTGAGGCACGGAGCAGTTCAGTAACTGTTCCCAAGCACGTACAGCTGGTGAGCAGTGGAATTGGGATTCGAACCCAGGAGGTCTGGCCCCTTCCCTCAGCCCAGAGACTCTGGGGAGGTCTGTGGCAGGCCTTGGTGGAGAGGGGTAGGACCCCCCTCCCACCCCTACCCCACAGGGTCTGTCAGCCTGCTGACAAGACCTTCTTTTTCTCAAGCAGCCAAGACGCCCCAAACTCGGGTGACCGTTCGAACGGTGCGAGTCCGCAGGCCCCCCAAGGGGAAGCACAGGAAGTTCAAGCACACGCATGACAAGAAGGCGCTGAAGGAGACCCTGGGAGCCTAGGGCGTCTGCAGGAGAGCGCGGGCAGGTGAGGGCAGGCGGGGAGACGGAGGCCCAGGCCCTGCGGCCTGGGCTTGGGCTGTGGGAGGGGTGAGGAGGGGCGTTTTCCCATATACCATGTGGGCCTGAAGCTTGGGTCCCCTCTGCCCAGTTATCAATGGAATTTTCCCACGGGGCAGGTGGGCGGGAGGTTTGGAGACCCCAGCCCAGCTCTGTCCGCAGAGAATGGGCCCCCTAAACCTCAGCTGTCCAGCCCCAGCACTGCTGGAGATCAGGGACGACCGGTGAACCCCAGCTCCCTGCCCCCAGCAAGGGGCCTGTGCACGGGGCATGTCTCTGAGCCCTGTGTCCCTCTGCTTGGCTTACAGGGTTATTTAATAAGGTATTTGCTGTATCGCCCCCATGGGGTCCTTGGAGTGATAATATTGTTCCCCTCGTCCGTCTGTCTCGATGCCTGATTCGGACGGCCAATGGTGCTTCCCCCGCCCCTCCACGCGTCCGTCCGTCCACCCCTCTGCCAGCGGGTCTCCCCTCAGTGGCCTCCAGCGCCTTGCCCGGAAGCTTGAGAAGGAAATGAAGGATCTGGACTCCATCGAGGTCTTCCTCCCTCCGACCCCGAGGACCTGGGAAAAGAGCACAAGAGAGACTGAGGGGGGACGGGGCCCCCTGGCCGGGCCACCCCGAGCTGCGGACTGGCTCCGAGAACCCTGCCCGCGGCCCCGAGGACCTCTTGGCTTGGCCTGCCTGGTCCTGGCCCCTGGACAGTCTGATGGGAACACCCCCAGGCCGGCCGGAGTGCCCCGTGCTCCTGTGGCTGAGACCAGGGGGGAGCACAGACTGGAGAAACCCCTCCCACAGAGCCCAGGCCCAGTCGCCGCTCCCTGGTCACCTGTGCTCGCAGCGGCCTTCTTTCCTTTATACATATGACATCTTTGAAGATGTGGACTCCTCCGGGCAAGTGCGGCCCAAGTGCCAGGCAGCCTAGAGCCATTTCGAGGGGTTAGAGATGAAGTTTGCCCTGGAGGTGGGTGCAGGTGGAGACCTGGGCATCCACTGCCTCCTCCGCGCCCCCCTTTGCGTCCTCCTCCGTTTCACCTCTCTACCTCCACCCTGCATCTCCCTCTGGTCCACCGAGGGAGCGCCCCTCTTGGAGGCTCCTGTGACCCGAGGGCCTGCTCCCATCACATCCCAGCCCACACTGCCGTGCAAAGCCGTGCAGGGCGCCCTGCCCAGGCCGCACTGCCCAGCGCACCCAGGCGGGACCACTGTTCCCATCACAGGCACGGCCCATCTGTGTGTTTATTATGACAGCTTCGGGCAGGGGGAGGACACGTGTCTTTTCCTAATTGACACAAAGGCTCCGTGTGCACTGGCTGTACCCCTGACCCGGCCCCTGGCTTGGAGTGGCCGGACAGGAGTGAGCTCATGGAGGGCCGGAGGTAAGACGTTGTCCGTCTGGCCTCCATTTCCCCACGTCCTCGCTCAAGCAGTCCCGCTCCCAGGCAGGTGTGAAAACTCAAGGGAAAGTCTCCAGTGGTGGGGGGGGCACGCTCCCCCATCTTAGACCCTTTTGAGTTCCATCTCTGGTGGCTGGGCTGTGGGGAGGGGAAGGGAAAAGATCCCCAGGCCCCTAGGGGTGGGTTCTGAGCTCCCTTCCCATCTTCTACTGCACTTCCCCCCCTACCCCACCCCAATCTGCTTCCTTCAGTTTGTAAAGTCGGTGATTATATTTTTGGGGGCTTTCCTTTTATTTTTTAAATGTAAAATTTATTTATATTCCGTATTTAAAGTTGTAAAAAAAAATAACCACGAAAACCAAACCAAATGAATCCGCTGGAGGTCTGTCTGTTGGCACCGTGTGTGCGGTTACCCTTTCCGCGTTGGCAGAACTTGCTGACAGCTTGCTGCGTGTTCCTCTCACTCCGGGAGGCTCGGCGCACGCTCACGCTCACACACATACACACACACACACACCCCCACATGCGTGCGCACACGTGTGGGCCTGCTGCTCCCAGGGAGGCCTCTGCCTGGGGGTGGGCAAGAGCCACACAGTCGTCCCTGTGGGTCTTGGTCCTGCAGCAGCTCCTGAGGCCTGGACCCCAAGCCCCGGCCTCGTGCCTCTCACTGGCAGTGACCAGAGATGCTTTCCCCGGCCCGAGGGTCCCCGTAAGGGGAGCAGATGCTCCCCATCACAGAGCTGGGCTGGCTGTAGGGAGGGGTCCTCAGTGTGGGGACGGCTGGAGGAGGTCCCAGCGGGGCTCTGCGTCGAGAGGGAGCTCAGTGGAAAGTGGGGTGTACAGTCTGATCGTGGCTGAGCCTGCAGCCAGCTCTGTGGCCTTGGGCAAGCACAGCCCCTCTCGGGCCCAAGCCTCACCTGAAACAAGACGAAGACCAGGGGCCTTGCAGCCTCTGACGTCCAGCGGTGGGCTCTGCGCTTTCCCTGCGAAGACCTGGGAACATCCCATGAAACAGATTTCAAACGCGTTCTGGGTCCCATCTGCAGGCCGGCGGGGGCTGAGGGGGAACCAGGAGGTGGAGAATGGCTCACAGGACTGTCTCATACTGAAACCGTTTGCTGCTGGAGGTCGTGAGCTCCCCGGCCCTGGAAGTGTGGAAGTGGAGCCGGCAACAACGTGGCTGAGGTTGGCGTGAATAACACTGGGGTTCCCCAGGGCGGAGTGGTTGAGTGATCGACTCATTCCTTCATTCACTCACCTCCTGGAGCCCCTGGCACATGTCTGCCTCTACTTGGGGCTTTTATAACCATGTGGTTTAAGTTCATCCTGGGATTCCTAGCCCTGAGCTGGAGGAAGCGGAGTCGGCCTGTGGGGTGGTGGGTGGAGCGGGTCAGAGGGGTTTGCCTGGAAACTCCTCACCCTGCCTGCCCCACCCTGTGTGTGGGATGCTCCCCTCGCCACCAAACCCTCCGTGTCCTGGGCCCGGGCACCGGGGCAGGCTCTGGCTGGAGGGGGAGGGGCCAGCTTCACCAGGAGATGAAATGAGAGGGTCCAGGCCTGTGCCAGCGCAGTCCTTAGCCCTCGTTGGAGGCTTAGCATTTGCCTCCATAAATAACAAAACAGCGAGTGTTTACCGCTTATGAAGTAACGTATCTGTGAGTCCTTAATACTCGCAGCTTGGTTTAAGGAAAGGAGAAGAACATGAGCGGCGAAGTGATGGCAACAGGCTTAGAGAGGTGAAGGTCACGCAGCTCCTCGCTGGCCGGATCCCGACAAGGTCCCCTCTGCCGACACCATAGCTGGTGTGTCTCCACTCTGTTTTAGGGTCAGACCAGGAGCCCCAGAACCCTAACACCTGCACATAACACCTGTGGGTTATAGTCCCCATTCAGCGGCCCAGTTACTGTGTGACCCTAGGAACGTCACTGCTCCTTCTAGATCCCGGCCTGACTTCCAGGCCTGACTGGCCCCCGCCCTTACTTCTGGCCTCCAACCAAGTGTCAGACCGGCAGGCCCCCTCTGTCCAATCCTTCCAGAACCCCCTTGTTACCTGCTTTATTTATCTCCATAGCACTGCTCCTCGTCGGCTCCTCCCACATCTATTCTTTCCTTGTCTCCACATGGAAGCTCCACATGGAGTTATTTTGTTCATGACACTGTCCCCAGAGTCTAGCACAGTGCCCGGTACACAGTAGGTGCTCAGTAAATGCTTGTCGAATGAATGAACATAAAGGTCTGTTATTGGAGCAATCAAGTGTGTCGGTCCAAGTCACAGCTTGCCTGGCTGATCGTCCCACGCACTATGGTGTGGCTGGAAAACTGCAGACTCTGAGGGTGTCACTAACCACCGATGAGCTATTTCAGCTCCTCAGCTGGCTCCCTGCTTAGCACTGCAGCTTCCTGGACTGAGGGATCCTCAAGGGTGGGGCTATGTTGAATCCATTTTCTAAGTCTACCAGCCATTATCTCCTTCCATGTCTACACCTCTCCTTCCTGCCATCCACCCACTCATCCATCCATCCATCCATCCATCTGCCTACTCATCCATCCACTCATTCATCTGCCCATCCATCCATCCATCCATCCATCTGCCTCCTCATCCATCCATCCATCCATCCACCCAACCCCCTATCTGCCTACTCATCCATCCATCCATCTACCCATCCCCCATCTGCCTACTCATCCATCCATCCATCCATCCATCCATCCATCCATCCATCCGTCCATTCACCCATCCATCCATCTGCCTACTCATCCATCCACTTATCCATCCATCCATCCATCCATCCATCCATCCATCCATCCATCCATCCACCTGTCCAGCCATTTACCCACCCACCTATCCCCCTCCTTTATCTCCTCTCTATTTATCACTGTCACCATGTCCCAAGATCTGTACTTGCCACCTCGTTTTATTAACTTCTAAGGAGCTTGGTGCCCCAGTAGAGAGAACACAGGTTTAGCGACAGCGCATGATGAGGTCCTCATGCCAGCATTGCTAGCTAGCTCCCACTGCACGGCCTGGCAGAGCTGTTGTGTAGGTTAGAGACATGAGCCTGAGCATGGCGCCTGGTGTGTACTGTACCCGCAGTCCATGGTAGGGTTATTTTTTAACTCTCACCCAGCAAATGGCTGATCACAGTGCAGTGAAGATGGAAAGAATGACCACGAAATCACAGAGGGATTAAAAATTCAGCTGCAGCCAACACATGCATTTGTATTCCAGGCACCGTCCCATTATTCTACTCAATTAACCCGGCAGTCCTTTCAGGCGGTGCCATTGTCCCGTGTTACAGATGAGAAAGCAGGGATTTGGGAGGTCCAAGCCCCTCCCCCCTCGCCAGGGCACACGGGTCTCCTGTAAGCGGCCACAGCCCCTGGGGGTCACATCAGGTCCTTTCCTCATTAGGGGACTCTGGGTCAGTGGACTCACTGGGGTCTGGGCCGGGGCAGGCACCAGGGTCTGCCTCTGGGGGCTCAAGCCAGACCTCTGTTTACCAGACCTTTCTCTGTGTAGAAGCCCAGAGCCTGCGGGTCACTCACCCATTTTGCCCCGGGGACCTTGTGGCCCATTTACCCCACCCACACCTGCCAGGGGCCTCTGCCCTCCCAGGGCCTTGGTTTCTCCCACACACCGAGGTCTTCGGGAGGCTGTGGGGCTCTCACAGGGGCGGGCTGGGTGCGGGGTCCCCCGTGGTTCATCTGCACGCCGTCTCTGCGTTACACTCGGCACTTCTGTCATCTCCACGTCAGCGAGCGGGGGCCACCGCTGCGTCAGGCTCCAGTGCCCCGTGCCAGCCAACACGCCAGCCCCGGAAACAATTAGCGCCACCCCCAGAGGAGGCTGGCACCGAAAGCCAGAGCCGCCGGTTGGTGCGCTGTGTTAACAGCCCACTCAGCGGAGCCATTCACACATTGCTACCAGATTTTTGATGATATGAAATAGCAAAGTTCTGCCCAGATTTTGGTTTGGGTTGATATTCAATGCTGCCCCAGCTGTGGTCTGAAGACACTGAGGGCGGGGAGGGCGGACGTCAGACAGGGGGAAGAGGCTGCTCTGCCCGCCATGGGGGGCCGGGGGGGGGGGGTGGGGGTTCGGGAGGTTCAGCTTCGCCCAAACCCTCCCTGTGACTCCGTGCAAATGCTGAGCTCGCTCTTTCATACTCAGCAGTCTCGCTTCCACTGGGCAGAGCGGGTGAGGCCAGGCAGCAGCCGATGGGTCCGTCGCCATTCTGGGGGCCCAAATTTTGAGTTTCATTTTTGGGTCTCTCATCGTTGTGGCTGCGAGATGAAGAGGCCCTGTTAGCAAGCATGGGCGTCCTCCGTCATTGAACTGGGTCTGGGGCCAAGAGCTCAGGATTTAGGAGATTGTCTTCTGTTTCTTCCTTCCTTCCTTCCTCCCTTCCTTCCTTCCTTCCTTCCTTCCTTCCTTCCTTCCTTCCTTCCTTCCTTCCTCCCTCCCTCCCTCCCTCCCTCCCTCCCTTCCTTCCTTCCTCCTCCTCCCTTCCTTCCTTCCCTCCTTCCTCCCTTCCTTCCTTCCTTCCTTCCTTCCTTCCTTCCTTCCTTCCTTCCTTCCTTCCTTCCTTCCATTTGGTCCAGTGCATGGGAGAGGGCTTCAGGGTGGTTAAAAGAATGGGTAATGGTTTGGGGAGCGGCTCAGACAAAAGCCAGACACAGGGGAATGCCGAGAGGCCACTTGAAGGCCTTTGGGCTCCAAAGGCTCCTAGTCGTGCTTGCGGCTGAGCCTTTGGAATAGATACTCGCCCAGCCCAGCCTGGGGCCCGCGGCCTGCGGAGGTGAGTCAGGTGTCGCCCATCTTCTTGATGAGTTTCACCTCCTCACCCTGGAAGTGGTTCTCCAGGAAGTCGCAGAGAGGAGGGCCTGCGGGTAGGACCCTCCACAAGGGCCTGGTTCAGGTTCCTCTCCAAGGCCAGGGCGGCTGCCCTGAGTTTTGCCCACTCACCGTGGGGGGCTCCTGCACGTCCTGGAAGAGAATGCAGCCACCCCACTGGTTTTGCATCTTTAAGAGATGGTCACGGAGCCCTTGGGCTTCTTCTCCACCAACTCGAGGAAGAAGTGGCCCCGCCCTGGAGAGCCACACCATCCACACCATGAGCCACATCACCCCATCGAAATAGAAGCCCAGGGAGAGGTAGGTGTGGAGGCCGCAGAGGCCGGGGGCCAGCCTCCACGCGGTGGGATAACTCTGACGAATTTGGGAGCTCACGTTTGTTCGGCAATGAGGAGTTAAGGTAGGAAAAAACGGTGTGTCGGCTGGTCTCAGAAGTGGTTCCGAAAGTGGCGACTGGAAAAGACGGTGGAGGGGGGTCAGAGGCTGGAAGAAGGGGCATCC